GTTTCAACATCCGCACATTTGGGAAACAAGTTTACAACAAGACTATGCCACTCTCTAGGAAGAGAAAATATAATCTTGGTGTTAATCTCACTTTTGGGATAAATTTTATTTAGCTTACTCAAGTTGTTGACGATGAGGTTGAATCGTTTGTTCATGTCTTGAGCAGATTCTCCGGCCTTCATTTTGAAGCTATCTTAGTAGCTTTGGCATCGTTCTCTCCTTCGAGAATGGCTTCTAGGAGCTTCCATGCTTTCTTTTCCGATTTGCAAGAGCTCACCCTAGCAAACTCGTCTTGACCCAAGGCACAAAACAAAACGTTTAATGCTTTGGCATTCAAGGAGAGTTTTTTCTTGTCGTCGGGAGTGAGTTTGTCCATTGGTGTAGGCACTTGAAGTTCACCTATAGTTGTCATAGGAATAAATGGACCATGAGTAGTGATAATCCATAAATCATAGTCAATGGATTCAATGAAATTTTCCATTCGCATTTTCCAATTGCCGTAGTTATCCCCATTGGAGAATGGTGGCTTGGTAATGCTTTGGGAGTTCATTGAGCCCATGTGTCATAAAAAGAATTGAAAGATGAGTTTGAAAAGGTTAAACTTCCTGCTTTGATACCAATTGAAAGTCGGTTACACCCTAAGAGGGGGGTGAATTAGGGTGTTTAAAAGTTTTTCGTAAAATAAAAACTTAGCCGCAAAGTAATAGCGGAAAAAGAGCAAGAAAAGTATAAAAGAGAAAAGTACGACACAATCGATTTTATACTGGTTCAGGAACTCCCTACTCCAGAACCTCGAGGCTCCTCCTCAAGGATTTAACCTCCACTAACTCGTTTGGCTTCACTAAGAAGACTCAAACGAGATTTGGCAAACAACTCCTGCCAATAGGAAAATGAGATTTTACAAAGACTATCTCAACCGTTTACAACCCAAAGATTTATATGCTATGTTCAACCTTTTACAATGAGGATTTAAAGGCTATCCACACCTTAACAAAAACAATAGATATTGTTGTTACTTCTCTACCAAATAATAATCAACTTGAGTTGGATAGGAGAAGAACAAAGTATTAAATCAACAACAACAAAAGTCTATAGACAAGATATAAAATAATGAATAACAAATTCCCTTATGCGTGAGTGTATAAAAATATTGAAAACTTTATACTCAAAAGAGTAAGAAAAAATGTGAACAAAGCTTTGAGAAAAACATTCAAGAATTGAGAAATAGGCTTTAGATATAGTTGGGAAGTTGTTGTATCATAAATGAGACTTAGAGGGGGTTTATATAGGAGTTTGGAAGGGTAAAAATCGGGTTTTCAACGTTGAAGACCGTTGGGGAATGATTGGGGGTAATTTCAATTTAAATTGAAAATCAGCTACAGTAATTATAACGGATCATGTACACTTTATGGTAGGGGCAGTACCGTGTGGTACCAAGGTACCGTGACAACGGTACAGCTTACGGCGAGGGGTACTGTGTAACCCATGAAAATCCATCGGCTCTAGCGGAACTTGGGTCAAACGTTCGGCCCTTATGTTCCGTAGCCTACCGGCGGTACCCAGGTACCGTTAGCACGGTAGGGTGTACTGTGTCACTTCCAAGTGAAACGTATAGCGGTACGTTCACTTGGTTACCGGTGGTACCCTGGTACCATGTACACGGTAGCCAGGTACCGTAGGACCTGTTGATATTTTCCAAAACTTAATTTTTATGTTCCGTTTTGAAACAAACCCCAACTAAAATAATATTTGACATTTTAGAAATAATATTTTGAGTGAAAGGGCATAAGTAAATCCTTACTTTTACACAATTATTTCGAAACCCGTAGAAGTACATATCGGTGATGATAATCAAGTTAATAGAGGTTTGGCGTTTGATTTCTTCCTGCAAATGATGTTAGTAGCATTTGGGAGACTTATTTGGCAAATCAAAACGGTTACGGGTACAGAATTCACGGCCAACATATCCGGCAATGGCTAATGCCTGTGCCGAGATAAGGTGGTATTGTGGTCTCTTGGCCACGTTAGATGTTGCTATTTATATTGTGATAACAAGTCTGCTCTGTTCATTGCAACCAATCCCATTTTTCATGAGCAGTCAAAGCACATGGATATTGATTGTCATATTGTCCCGGAGTACATTAAACGTAACCATGTTGTCGCAACTTATGTTCCTATACATCTACAGACTGCGGACATCTATCATGCGGTTCAGAGTAATCCAAAAAGTTGTCTTCGTATGGAGAATATATAACTTTCTGAGACTGGGTGTTGTATGGTGATTCCTCATGATATTGATAATAGTTAGATCCATTGTTCACTTGGTACTCATCATAGCCATCATATGGGCCTTGATGTGGGTAGTATGGTGGTGGTGATTGTGGGTAATTGAATTGATACAAGTATGATTATGGGTAGGTGGGTTGTAGTTGGTAGTAAGAAGGTAGATCATATCAATCATACGGAAAGTCCATAATAATTACTACAAGTGGTTGGTGGAAAGAAGTAAGAAAATTGATCAAACTTATCTTCACGCAAGCTAATTAAAAATTAGACTAAGGGGAAAGTATTCAAGCAAGAGTTTGTAAGATTTTTAGATTTTAAAAGTTAGTAGGTATTCATTTAAGATTTTAAAAAGTCTTTGAAAATCTGAGGGTATTTAATTCAAATTTTAAAAAGTCATTTAAAATATGAGGGTATTCAATTTGAATTTTAAAATGTGTTAAAATTTGATGGTATTAAATAATTTATGGATTTTGAAATATTTCAATTATATGTAAATTTTTATGGATTTTTTTTTATAAAAAAAATCAATTCATTAATGTGTGAGAACATCCAAAGATTTTAAGGGATTTGGCTATCTGGGTGAAATAGCCGCTGAAAGACCAAGCATCTAGAATCTAGATCATATCATGCACAAAGAAAAAAGGATTCAACAGATTTGAACTTGGTAGCGGACAGAGACGCCTACGGGGACAAAGACGGGGAAGAATAATAAAAATGGGGGAGAAGGAGGAGAAAGAAGAAGATGCATAGATCTGACAAGGAAGAATAAGAAGAATGGGAAAGAAGGAAGGTGTAACGCCACGAAAACAAGCATATCAGAATTAATTAATTTATAATTAATTCATTGGTGAGAAGGACCCAAAAATTAGTGATTTTTAAAGTTTGTCAATAAATAATGAAAATTATATCATTGTGTAGAGTTTGACTATCTGACCACAACGGTTCAATAAGATCTTACTTCGAAGAAAGTTGGACCAAAAAGTGTACCCCCGACTAGGACAAAATTAATCCCAATCAGGGAATGGCGTATAAAATCAACCAAAATTTCCGCTGGGCGCACTACGCTGATCGGTCATCATCGCACAGGACCTCCTATGGCTTGTTCTTCTATACTCTCCCTTTATAAGCCAAGTCAATATCTCTCATTTCTTCACCAAATCATCCCATTCTTCCTTCTATCTTGTTGCTCTGAGTGAGGAAAACGCAGTGGTGCTGTCAATTTGGTGAGAGGTCGCCAGAGTTGAGAGTAATTATCGCCAGAAGTTTCACCTTGAAAATTCTCAAAACCACCATTTAAGCCCGAGGTAAGCCCTTAGATATATGTAGCGATTAGAATGTTCGTATAGATCGTTTCTACATTCATAAACGGTCGTTTGGTTAAATTTTGTTTTTGACATGCTTGAAGAACCAAGAACCATAACCTTTGGAATTGTTGTTTAAACTACGAACTAATGATACCAAAATGATATATGAACTTTGGAGAACATTTCCATATACTTTAATTGAAGTTTGGTGATGAAAAATGAAGTTTACAAAAATTGGCCTGAGGTTGAAAATGAGACTGTTCAAAACCACGCGCAGAGCGGTAGCGAGCTACAGTCCGGATGATACCTTGGTACCTCTCGCACGGTAGGCTAGCTACCGTCTCCTCCAAGAACAATATCCTCCTGTGGCGGTACTTGAAGTCCGATAGTACCCCGTACCATCTGGATGGTACCGAGGTACCGTTCATCTGACCTGGAAATTTTCTAGAAACCCAATTTTTTAAATATCAAGTCCTTTTTTGATACCATTCAATTATGATCAACATAAAAATGATTTCTAGAGATAAATATGATGTTTTAACCATTCAAGAACCTTGTTTGATGCGTGACGGTAAGCTAGGGTGTTCACACTCGATGCTAGGCTACTATTTGTTATCGAATATCATGATGATTATTAATGATGTTATTTATGATCAAACTTTGATAAATATTATAATTAAAAAAAATTTGAGGCTTGTGAGATTCAATTTCTCAAGTTGTAATCGATTTGTCAAGCAACCGTTGAAGCTCGAAGTTTAGTAGGACCTTTGAGAGAGTCTCTAAGAGGAATGGACTAGCCACAAGGTGGTCAACCAGTATATATCACGGTGTTATTCTTCCTCTTTACTCCTTAACAATTTTCCTGCAATTTTTTTCTTTTCGTTTATCACACACACGCAAAAAACGCTCATTCTAGATAACAACTCTAATCACCCCCCCCCCCCCCTCCCCCCTCGCTCATGAGTTGCACATGTTATCTAACAATTGGTATCAGAGTAGGAAATTCTTCGAATACATCTTATTTTTCAGGAATTCAAAGATCAATGGGTTCTAGAATGTTAAACGCAGGAGTTAACGAAGGTCAATCCACTATTAGGTCCACTTTGTTCGATGGAACAAACTACTCATATTGGAAGGAGAGAATGAGGATCTTCTGGTGGTCCCAAAGTGGTGAGATACAAAGTCTAGAGGGGGGTGAATAGACTTTGTTACAATTTTAAAACTTTTTCGTTTCTTTTGAAAACGTGAAAATAGTGTAAATCTAGAGTTCTTGGGAACTTTAGATTGTGTGCAGAGTTTGGTGGGTAGTATGAGCAGTAATCAATATGGATGGGTTGTGTTTGCAACAGTTTTCTTGATGGGTTAGGATGCCAAAGGCCGCCATCAAGGGCGCAAAATGTGACATCACATCAAATAACTTATCCTACTAGCAGATGGTTCATGACTACATGTCCAAAATGGTTGCCCAATTCAAGGTCCTTGTGGCATGTACAAGATTAGTTGCCCAAATCAAGGCCCTTCTGGCCAGAAGATAACACCTGACGTCAGCATAAATGCATTATCATTTAGTAGGCACTACATTAAAAGGCAAAATAGGACCTGAACTGACAAAAACACCACAGACGACCATGGCAAACTATTTTGATTTCTTGGACTGCTTTCTGTTTTGGCCGGGTGTAGCCTTTTTCGTGGCTGTCTCGGCCGCTCTAGTTTGGGTTCGTTTTGATGGCTTCTTAGCTGTGCCGCTATCATTCTCATTATCACTCCCAGTAAAAGAGACATCGTCAGAACCAGACTTTCTCTTTGCACCAGTTTTCTTTTTCGTAGCTTCATCTCTGTTGCCATGCCCCTCTTCCTTAGTTCTTCCTACGGGTTTCTTAGCTCTAGTCTCCTTCATATCCGAACTACTATTTCCATCAGATTCTGTCTCTTTGACATCATCGCCCTTTGGTGATTTTTCCTGCTTTTTACTAGCTTTAGAAGACTGAGGTCCACTTTGCTTTTGTAACTCAGGTACGTAGGCTGTTGTCTGAGTTAAATCCAAACAAAGAAAAAAAGGAAAAACCAAAGTAAGCAAATGGAATACCAGTAAATGCGAAAAGTCCACATATGATGAGGAAGCAACCATACCCTGCCACCGGCAACTATAAAATCAATTTTCTTTCCTGCACAGCATTAAAGTTGGATCAGATCTGATACAAAGTAGCTGGGTACACCAAGATTTGGTGACCATGTATATTAATCCAAATTAAAAGGAGTGAGTAAATGCCTATCTAGTGTAGGACGGGAGAAAGAAGTTCCACAGAAAATGAAACGAGTAAACAAGTAAAACCAATGTGAAAATGTAGGCATAGATACTGCATGAAACTGATGAAAGAAATACTTCAATAATGATTACATGCAGCACACACAAAAGTAGATTATCAGCCACTAGAAATTATCAAACACATAAACAGCAAATCTATTAGCAAAAATAATTGTGCAGCATGAGCCATAACCCAAGAAAGCTTTGTGCAGCATGAGTCAGAATCCAAACCATCAACAAAAGCCTTGCCCTTCTTTTCGCGAGAATGGTAAATCCAATTACTAGGGAACCGCTCACTGTCAGCTTCTACTTCAACAGCTTTTTCAATAACCTGTAAAAAAGAACCTCCTGATAAAATTGTGGAATTATCTCACCATTCACTTTTCCCGGCTTTTTGCCCCATCGATTATGGAATAACCATTCACTAGGAAAGCGGCTGCTATCCGCATCAACATCAACTGAAAACGCTGTAACCTATGAATATGACCTCAAATGTCTATCCGCGTACAAAGAGAATGAAAGATAAGGAGAAATAACTAAACAGCTTAAGCATGTATTAACCTCATTTATGCACTTGAGTAGTAGCTCACAGCTTTCTCTAGACATGCTTGAAGTAATCTGCATCGGATGAATTCTTGCCTGTTGAAATGAATTAATAGAGCTTGAGAGAATATTTTGGATGTAATCAGCTATTCAACAACAGCAACAAAAACAACAACCCCGTTCAATCCCACGAACAGAAAATAAAATTGGCAAGTGCAGCAGCTATGAAGCACACACTTTAAACTTTTAAAGAAGTATGAATGTCGAGGGATACATACAGAACACACCTAATGTGATATTCTAATATGGAGGCACGAGAGAACACATAAGGTATACAACACAAGGTTCTTTTTAAAGGATTAGGTCATTCCTTGGAGTAAGTGTAATAAAGAACAAAGCCATTGATCTCTATCCTCTCCTAGATAAAGAGGAAGGAAAGGACGTGCTTGATGATAATTAAATTAGGTCAGATACTCATAAGAAAAGTGTTTCGTTTTGCTAAACCCATAAAATATTGAAAAAAAGAAAGAAGAGTGTCACAGATAGAGAATAATTCTTGGAAAGATGTCCTGGGAAGAAACTTTTCCATTTAAATCATAATAAATCTGCAATACAACAATAACTAAAACCACCCACTAACTAATACAGAATACTCCCTCTGTCTCGGTGTATTTGTCCACTTTCTTTTGGGCACATGAACCAAGGAAAAAGACAAAAGAGAAATGAGCGCCATGCCTCGACTTTTATTTTTTGGGTGGGGGGAGTTGGAGTATTAGGTGAGAACAAATAAGTCAATGTCACTTGTTTTTGTTTTCCTTTAATGAAAAGTTGAAAATAAATTAGGACAGTTTAAAAAGGAAGTGGACAAAATTAGCCATCTACTCAGTATAACTAATACTCCCTGCATCCTAAAATTAACTTCAAATGTGAAAATGGCATGAAGTTTAAGAAAAGTGATATTGTATGGTTAAAGTTTGTGCAAAGAAGAGAGAAAGAATATGAATCAAATATTTCTATGATTCTCTCCTTAAAAGGAAAGGGAAGATTATTTTGCGACATCCAAAAATTAAAGTGGGAAGATGATTTTGGGACACAGGGAGTAATAACAATAACAGCAACAGCAATTTGTGTTTTTTCCATACCCGTAATACGGGTCCCGTATATATATTGCATTTGTGCTTCATAGAACAAGAGTTTCATTTGTCAACTACACTATTAGAGTTCTGGTTCGTGGTTGTAATCACTTTTAGTTTGATGTATAACCTGAATCAAGGTTTAATGAAGAAGCTAAATTGGGTCTCGATATGCTGTACTTCAGTCTCGTGGAACGTAAGTCTTTCGGGTAGGGTGAACCAAGGTGTCCCCTCATTTACAAAATATATACTCCGAAGCATTTATAAAAAATAATGTATGTTAAAATCACAGAGAGGAAGCTCTTGAACAATAAGGCTATGCAACACGTATCACAGCTTTAATTGCGATAAAAATTTGTTAAATTCATAATCTATTATCAAATATTGAAGGAAACTTTTCAAAACAGTAGTAATTAAGGATGATCAAAAAGAGAAAGTTGGTAGCTACTTTTGAAAGCCTCAACCAAAATAGAGAAGGGGAACATGTTGAATTGTAGAGAAAAAGGGCTTAAAGTAGAGAATAAAAGAAAGTGGTCGGTTAGAGAAAGACCATATAAACTGCTATGATTATAGTGGTGTATTTTATTTTTATATTTTTTTTTGTTTATTTAGCTAAAAGAATCCTATACTCCGTATCTTTTAATAAATAGCAAGTCTTTTTAGCTTAACTGATTTAAAAGACAGCCCACTTTTGGCCATGTAAAATGGTCCATCTTTACATAACAATAGAAGTATAAACCCCATACACTTCAAGAGGTGTATGCCTCAATGCATAAGCCTCGCTGAGGTAAGGCCAAAGCTTCTACCTGAAAGAGAAAAACATGAGCCTTGAGGTGATTTTTATAGCTACACCTTGAGGCTACACACAATAGATTTTTAAAACTATGATCTCTATCCCTTCAAATTGTTACAGCTAAAATTGATGGCAGAGAGAACAAAGGCACGCTCACCTGATATAACACTTCATCTGCCATCCAGTTGCCAATGCCAGATATAAAACTCTGCACAAAAAATGGAATACCTAACATTTCAGCAAGGAAAATGTGTGATCTACTCACATAGTCACATGGTAGAATTTATTCAATAAAACAAATTTTTATCTTCAAAAAATGTACGGAGTACCATATACTCACTTTTCCCATAAAAAGAATCCTCTTTCTAAACCCATTTTTGTCTCAAATAAAAAGTCAAGTTTAACTAAAAGATAATTCTCATTATGTTCAGTGTTTTTAGATAGAAAATGTGCAAAACAGGTTGAGTGCGATAAAATTATTCACACTAACAAACAAAATAAAAAAAATGTAGCTATATTTGATTATTTCCAATATTTGTACCATACTAGAATTATAAAGTTATACTTTTGAGAAATAGGAATATTTATGGCCTTTTGGAATACTTTTGAGAAATAGAATTATTCATGACTGTATTAGTGTCATGGTTGTTAAGTCGACAAGGCCAGTCGAGTCGGTGACGGGGAGACTAGTGGACTAGGCGACTAGTCGTAGATTAGTCATAGACTAGTCGACAAATCACAATTAGTATTGAAATTTTTAACATTATATATATCTACATTAACCCAACATGAATATATATATATATGACAAAATACCATAACCAAAGCAAACTTATGTTTAAAGATAGCACATAAAGTCACTTAACAAAGAGTACATAACAAACCAAAATAAAACAAAAATATTAACTGAAATCAGAAAAGAAATTGAAATATTAAACTGAAAATAAAAAACTGAAATACTAAATACTAGAATAAGAAAAAAATCAAAATATTAACTGAAATCAGGAAAAAAACTGAAATATTAAACTGAAAATAAAAAACTGAAATACTAAAATACTAGAATAAGAAAAAAAATCAAAATATTAACTGAATTCAGAAAAAAACTGAAATATTAAACTGAAAATAAAAAACTGAAATACTAAAATACTAGAATAAGAAAAAAATCAAAATATTAACTGAAATCAGAAAAAAAACTGAAATATTAAGAAAACAAAAGAAAACTGAAATCTTACCCATGGAGGAGAGTCGCTGATGGAACCGCCTGGAGGAGAGTCGCTGGAAGTCACGGAAGTGCTGGAACTCGAAAACGTCGCTGATGGAGGAGAGTCGCGACCCTGGATTGACTGTCGATTGGATGGATTGCGTCGAAGAGGCCGTGTTTTATCGAAAATTTTAAAAATGAATGAAATTTGGGTCGGGTCTTGTTGGGTCGGGTCAATTGGGTTAGGTCAAATTGGACAATTTCTTTCACCGACTAGGCGTCTCCTACGCGCGACTAAGCGTCGCTTTGCACACTTTATCGCCTAGTTTTTCCCTAGGCGCTAGTCGAAGAGCAAAACGCAGAGGCAAAACCGCCCGGACGACTAGTCGGCGACTAGTCGTGGCCTAGGCGACGACTTGACAACACTGATTAGTGTATTGGTGGTTATTTCTGATTCTTTGATCCGTATTGGAAATTTTGCCTCTAAAGTGGTTCTCTTTATGCTGCATAAATACTAAATCAGAAAATTTTGGATGTTGCAGAGTGATGATTTGGTTGGTTCTGTGGTTGGTTATATGGAGCACTCTTATGTTAAAAAAAGTGTGGAATGACTCTGCTATGTTCCTGAGGCTCTATCGAATACCAAAAATGCAACTCCCTCGATTCCGTCTCCATGTTTGGAAAACACTAATTGCTGATAGAGATTAGGTAAACTCTTAAATTAAAAGGCACTTCGGGGTAGGAGACATTCATTTCTAAAAGGATACCTGAAGTGAGACGCCGTATAATTTGAACACTTCTTTCAAAGCTGAGGTATTAGTTAACTTCTTTTTTCAGGATGATGCATGGAATATTTAGAAGCTGAGGACTGCTGTTCCAACCATGGTAGTCAAACTCAAGATTCTACGCAAGATCGCTAGGCCAAATGAAGATCGTAACATCGTAAGATCGTAATTCGGATTGTAAGATCCTACACACACACACACACACACACATATATATATGTATGTGTGTGTGTGTGTATAATGTTGGAAAATATAAAAATAAAAGGGATGTAAATAATTTTGTATAATAAGTATGAAGATAAAGGTAATAAATAAAACAAGAAACTTGACCAAAAAAATTACTGCCAGAAACCTAAAAAGAAACTGGAAACAAATTATTAAAAAAAATCACTACCAGTAGGTAAGAATTGTAAAACGACTGCCAGTAGGTAAAAAGCACTACCAATTGGGCAGTAGGTAAAAATTACTGCCAGGGCCTAGAAGCCTAAAACGAAAAGAAAAAAGAAAATACTCGTATTAACAGGGAAAAAGTGACAACCGCGTGCGAAGGCCAAAGGGAATAGGCAAGTGGCGAAGCTAGAAGAGGAGTGCCATGGCTGATCTGGATTGTAACTCTGTAAGTATTTGTGCATACTTGGGTGGGAGAAGGGGCGTATTTACAGAGGGAACAATCGTTGGGAAAAGCTCGCGTTCTCGCGTAAAAATCGAAGCGATGAAACAAAACCTTTTCAAATTCCTGCATGTGTATTGATCTCTCTTTTCGATCGGCGATCTCAATCGATTCCGATCTCTACGCAATTTCACCGCTCCACCGGAAATTCCCTCTGCCCCTACCGTACTCCAGCTTGGTAGTTTCCACCGCCTGTCCAGGGTTGAGCCCTGGGATTTGACAGCAGACTTAAAAAGCCACCTACGGACGCTTTACGCCCAATCATTCCGGATAACGCTTGCATCCTCTGTATTACCGCGGCTGCTGGCACAGAGTTAGCCGATGCTTATTCCCCAGATACCGTCATTGCTCACTGATAAATCTACTCCAGATCGTTGATCGTACCGATTCCAAGGTAATTTGCGATTTTCAGTGCAAGTTAGATCGGAAATAGGCTGGCGATCCGCAGAATCGTATAATCGTATGATCCGGATCGCGAGTTTGACTACCATGGTTCCAACCAATACGGTTAATGACATTAGTACTATACCAATATCTGACATGAGTTAATTACCAGCTTGATGTAACGGATCCACTTGTGCTATTTTCACTCAAATCTGTTGAGAGCTCCTTATGGATATAGCCCTATTACGCTGACTACATTTGGCATGAAAATATTCCTCCTAACTTTACCTTTATACATATGTAGAGCAATTGACAAACTGCTTCCTCCCCTGCTCCCCATGATGTGACGCAGATGAGGTTTAATATTGCACTGTCATCTAAGTGTGGATGATATGAAACTACTAGGCAACAACAACCCAGTTGAATCCCACGAGAGTGGGTCTGGGGGAGGTGTGCACGAGCAGACCTTTTCTCTTCTCTAAAGTAGGGAGGTTGTTTCTAAGAGACCCCGGGCTCAAGTAACATAGATAGCACACGATCACAAAAGACACATAAAACAAACATAAAGTAGAGAAAGCACAAGGCACCAGGAAGCAAGGAACAAAGTAAATACTAAAAAAAGGAAAGAACTTAAGCACCCCAAGCAGAACATTAAAAAAACACACAAGAAGTGCAAAAACTACCACCAAGCCAAACTGCCTACCAAATACCCTAATCCTAGCTCCCCAAACGTTCCTATCTAAAGTCATATCCTCGATAAAGGCCAGAATTTCTAGGTCCTGTCTAATCACCTCCTTCTAATTCTTCCTAGGTCTACCCCTTCCCCTACTACACCCACCACCATAAGCGTCTCACATTTACGCACCGCGCCTCAGCACTCCGCCGCCTCACATGCCTGAACCACCTCAACCTAGCTTCCCGCAGCTAATCTTCCACCAGTGCCACTCCTACCCATCCGTGGATAACCTCACTCCGGATCCTATCTATTCTTGTCTCTCCACTCATCGAACGTGGGTTTGTATCATATTTTTTTTAAATTAGAAAAAATAAAAATTTGTTGCGAACTACTTTTACGATCTGATATTCTGATTAACATTACCCCACTTGAGTTCTCTTCATTAAGAACAAGAACAAGTCATGTATAACACCTCCCAGCATTGTTACGGTCTAGGAGTCAAGATGTACGCAACCTTACCCTCTTGAACGCTCAGTTTTTATGAAAATAGTCATGAACTTGATCATCAAATGCCCCCGGGCCTAATGGAGAAGACCTTTGTTTCCCATTCTGGTTTCGTGCTATATGTGAAAATGCGAGGAATAACCAGAGTCTGACATAAGGAAAAAGAGGCTGATGGAAGAGCTTTTAATTTGGAAAATAAACAGGTTATGGAAGCTTAAATGCGTGTTCTACAGGCAACACACCTAAAAAAAGGTGTGAAGATTTGCTAGGAGTGGCCTAAGTCTGGATGGATCAAGCTTAATACTGATGGATTATTAGAAACAATGACTTAGCTGCTGAAATTAAAACCTTAATGGATGACCAGAAATTTGTCTTCAGCTCGGTTATACTAGAGTTTTGGTTAAGATTGACTCTTAGTCTCTTACATTAGTTACATAGCATGTTTGCTTTGCTCCAAAGATAAAGATCTGACTGTATGGAACTCATCATTGATCTTGACTTTTGAGAGGATTGACACTCACATACTTGATGTTTGGTTTGATAAATGAGAATTGTATTTGCAACTTAAACAATCTTGTGTTGCTTGATAAGTATGGCCTACCAAACTTGAGATTTTGTACACCTTAGTTCATGGCAATGTTCTTTTCTGTACAAAGATTTTCAAAATGCACCAAGTACTTATGCCTTCTAATTGCCGCCTGGTTTGCAAGAGGAGAAAAGAGGAATTGGGGACTCGGGACCTAGTCTGGTGATGTTGATACTGGAATAAAGTCAAGCTAGGCATGTCATTAGACTTAAAGGATATTAGATACCTCCATCCAAATCCTGGAAATTACTTACAAATTTATGAACTACGGTGCTGGCTCAGTTTCCAAATTAGTCAAAAGGGCAAAAAGTAGGGGCCAAATAGACCTGTAGTTATTTGATGCATCCAAGACTAAGATAATGCAGAGGGATAAGTGGATCTTTTGAAACCTGATCAAGTAAAAGGGCCTTTATTCCAATCTTTTTCTTGCTAAGAGCTTGATGGAACTCATCTACTGTCAGTGGCTCCAACAAGGCATCAGGTCCAAGCTCTGATATAGGAGGCACAGCAACTGGCTGCAGAGGTTGAACCATCAGAAAACTTTATAGATGAACCCACATCATGACGTAAAATGTAAATGGGGTAATACATTTTCAAGCAACCGAACTCGAGCAAATCTCCTTTTGTCAGTGAATGAAAGCTCCAAGCCATTTTCCAGCTGCATGAAACATTTAACATGTCATTGATAAAAGGCACATAATTCCAGATCCACATATCCAATCAAACATACGACATAGATCATCAAAACTGCCAATAGTTGGTTTTTACGAGAACTTTTAATATTATTATGTTTCCTTTATAGATAATGAAGATGTTGGGCATAACATTTCTCTCTTCTAAACAAATTCCAACCACGTGCTTTTCACTTTTCAACACTATTCTTAAACTTTGTGAGGTCAGAATGTAAATTTCATTGCTGACATTGTGGAATTAGAGCAATTTTCGTACAAAATTTCTAGTAAAAGTTGTGATTTTGCAAATAGGTAAGTTAGGTGACCAATAAAGAAATGTGTTTTCTTTTTTCTGTCTGATTCGAACAAGAACATTTTTCATGTAATCTCAGACTAGTGCACAAATTGCCTGTGAGTTTCAGACCCATGAATTTTCAAATGTTTTTCATAGTTTTCAGTATATTAGTGTGATCCCTGACTCATGGGTAATAGCCAAGATTACGTCTTACTTCAATGAAAAACTTTGAATACTTGGAAGGCCACTCATCCTCATCTTTGACAGCTGACCTGTATGCAAGAAGGAAATACATAGTGACCCTAAGATGCAACTCAATTAGAAAAAGTAAGACTTTGGTGTGTATTTTAAATGGTACTCGACATTAGGACCAAACTGATGTGTTAAATCAAAGGTTCTACTGCTTGTAAAATGGCTCTGCATAATTAAAGGCCTAACTAACAGCAAAACCTTAACCCCAAACTATTAAAGCCAACTAAAAGGTTCAACTAAAAAAAATAATTGTCCCTTTAGGCTTTATCCATAAAAGAAAGAAGTTCCACATTTCCTTTTTGGTTTTCCCAAAAGGGATTTCACTTTCTCTTTATGGAAAGAATTGTATTGGTCCCATTCTTTTCCCTAAAATTTCATTTCTTAATCCCTCTACTCAGGAGGGACGGAGTATTGGCATGTTGACCATAAAAAAATGAGTATAACAAAATCCACTTTTCCTGCTTAGAGTATACAGTACACTCTTGCTACGTGCTGAGGTCATTCCCCGGTCAATGCTCTGAAATTTGAAACTAATTGTACATGAATTTATCAATTCATTGATTATTACGAAGAATCCCAGAGTCAGACAAACCGTTTGTATTTTGAAACAGCAACTCCCTTGATGTATACAGCACCAGACATTCCTGATAAAGACAGTAATTAAAGAAAGCCCTCTGCCACAAAGGTGCAGTAACTAGTAACCAGTAGACAGACTGAATCATGCATCATTTTTATACAAGGTTCAAAACACACAGTTGAAGAAACTGTCGAATTAACTAACCCTAGACATGAGATGGGGCATGCTGAATGTGTAAACCTCAGAATTTACTTTGTCATCTGATATAGCAATCAATTTAATCGTTTTCACGGAGATGTCCGTACTCCATAAGATTAACTCGACAAGGGTACTTTTAAGTTTTCTATTACTTTATAGACAATGATGAATTGACCAAGCGTACCGAACTGAAAAGATGGAAATGGGGGAGTATCGAGCTGAATCCACATGTTTTTTCCCTTGCGATGAGCGGAGACGATGCATTTTCCGATTAGCGAAGCCTCGAAGTCCTTGGGAGACACGCCGTCAATGACCTTGGGGTCGTCCGCTATCGCCGATTTCACAATCTTTAAGCCTATGCAGTGGTCCTCCACGGCTCTTCGTGCCGCCTCTACCTCTGGAAGCTCCGGCATTCTCAAGTAAATATGAGATGAGCTTCCAAACCTGGAACTCACACAAATTCGAATACAAACTAGTGTTTTCCAGCTGCTTAGCACCAGCTCTTAAAATATATTTTTAAATTTTGGGTTTTTCTCCCATGCCTTTTTATTTCAAAAGGCATGGATGCCCTTCCATTTAAATAGTGACATGTGGACAAATCATAATGAGAGTATTCAACAAAGTTTAATATGGAGCATACTTAGTTTCAAAATTTGCAAAATGCTCCCTCTAAAATCTAAATCGCACGCATCACTCTATATTAAAATTTGCAAAACCCTCTCTTCTTGTTTAAAAATTTTAAATGAAATTTCAATTGAATTTTTAATTTATTAAAAATATTTTATCACAATAGTAATAATAATAGTAATAGTAATAATAATAATAATTGTGTTTGGTTCTATTGAAAATTAAAATAAAAAACTTTTTTGTACATACTTATTTTAATATTATCCCATATGTATTTATTTAAAAAAAACAATATTGTTATATTTCGCGTCCGATCATGCTTTTTATACTCTATCCATTCCAAAATTATCATTATATTTCAAACGTGAAAAATTGTATATATTTCCAAATAATTATATTTACTTAATCGTATAGAAATAAAAACTATAACTTATATATATTCAAAAACTACATCAAAAGTTTTACAAAACAAGTGCTGACATGTCTATTTTATTTTATCAAATAATCAACAAAATCAATGCACACGCATACAAAATATTGGGTGTTTGAATTACATTTTGAACATTACGAAAAGTTAATTTTGTCTAAAACATTTAGCAGAGTTTCAACGTAAGATTGTATATTTTGTAGAGTTTTGTCAAAAAATTCTAATGAAGAATATTTCATTAGTATTTTAATTTTGGCAGTTGCTACTACCAAAGATTTTAAATTAAAAATAATTAATTTCAAATTTTGAATTAAAATCAATTTCGTCAAAAACCCTTTGAATCAAATTGTCGTAACATGAAACCAATTAATCCAAAAGCACCGTGAAGAGCCACAAATGCTCCAAAATTTGGTCTATCAATTCATAATCACTACCTTCGTCCTTGAATATTTGTCCAACTTTGATTTTTTCTAGTAAACAAGAAAACTTTATGCGTTGAAGAAGAATATGTGATTGTATTCATTGGCGTCCTCTTGCGTAGATAAGTACACACAAGCCTTTTCTAATTAGATAATCAAAGTTAGAGATAGAAAGCTTAGACAAGTGATTGATGGAACAACTGATGTTGAAATTCTGTCCGAATTGATGATTCTAGACACAAGTTAACCCCTCAAGAGTATAATAGATTTCACTTATCTGGACCTATTGGATACTATGAAAAGTTATTCTTTTTTTGAGGATAGGGCACTACTGGAACCCATGCTTGAGGTAATAAAAATGGTAAATGAATGTCATATCCCTCATTCCCGAAGATGAAATGGTGTATTCGAGTTCTGATTCTTCATGCTAGGCAAGTTCAGATGCAGGTGTTGGTGACGATCAGATAACAGTTGAGTTTTTGAATAAATCAAATGTTCGAAGATATCAATTATGTTATTGGGGAACATTGTCCAAATATTTGGATTATGTAATAGTATATTATTAATCGATGAAGAGCTGCGAAAGATCAGGGCGTTATCAATGCTTTTATGTTTTTGGGAAATTCAGTCAGGGAAAAATTTACAAGCCTCAGATGAATTTGGTACCATCCGATTTAATTACTCCCGAAGTTCTAGAGAAGACAACTCCCAATAGTCTCATGCTTTGCAATTACTATTAATAATAGTCAAGATCAAACATTGTCATTTGTTGGATTATTTTTAACCAATTCATTCTTCATTGATGCTTAGCTCTATTTTGCTGTTTCAAGAGTCAAGACAAAGACATGATTAAGAATATTGGTTCAAATGATAATTGAAACCATTTCAATCATACCAAAATTATTGTATACCCTAAAATTTATCAGAAGATTTGGTATTAAAAAAACCTGGTTGAATACTCATTCAATTCCTCAAATATTATTTATTCTACTTTGACATTTTTGTCTATAGTATGAAAAATAATGTCAGAATTATATATTTTTCTTTTGAAAAAAATTACATTGAAAAACATTCAGAATCGACAAAAATTTCATTCAACCCCGTGCGTCGCACAAGTTAGAATACTAGTATGATAAGAGATAGTGTTCTGAAATGTGTGAGAAATCGTTTGGGTCTAGAAACATGAAAGAAAGTTATGTGAAGATACAGATATGCAATTAAACTAGAGTCACAACTATATGCACCAAATAACTACAAAATATAAGATCTCCCTAAAAAGTCATATACTAGCTTCATCCAAAAAAAAACTTATTTTAGAGAGAATAAGAAAAATATTTAAAAAAAATATTTAAAAATATTAAATTGTGAAATTAAAATTATTAAAACTGATGAGAAGAGAAAAATTGGATAACATTAATTTTTAAAGAGGAAAGGAGACAAGAAAAAAATCAAAACAATTAAATTTAAAAAATACAACAAAGATTAAAAACATATCAGATACAAAACACAGCAAACAAAGTACGACTAGGTTCCGTGGTCATTGAGTTCTATTGGCCACGAAAGCCACTTCCCTCCTGCGGTGCTTCGTTCATAAAATTGATTATTCCTACCATCTAGTCCCAACCCCAACTCACCCCCACCTACGTCAATTGCACACCATAAGTATAATTGAATTTAAAATCTAAACTTTTGAATTCAAAGTCAACTAAAATCACGGGGTACAATTGACTTGGGTGAGCGGATGAGTTAGGGTCAAGACTGGGCGGGGGGGGGGGGGGGTATCGGGGGGTTAGCCGGGGTAAAAATCATCAATTTTATGAATGGAGCATCGTAGGTGTGTGCAGGGGGCAGTGGTTTCTGTAGTCATTGAAATCCATTTGCCACAGAACCGAGCCGTACAAAGTATGGCTTACTTGAACTTCTTGAAATCAACATTCTTCAAGTCTATTTGGAGTAGCGACTTACTCTCACGTTTTCCCGACATATCTGGAGATATCAATTCTTATTTTTTTTATTTTCACCAAACATATTTATTTTGGAATTTGATATCAAAACCCATATATGTTTTCCTCATCAAACATGCCCTAGAATTATGATTCTAAATTTTTTTCAAATAATTTTATTTCAAAATTTAGAATACATGTCATATCCTTCTTCCAAAACTCACTAATCGACCCAAATTATACAGTACAGCCGGCAGTTAGATTAGAGGAGAGGCCGGAAATTGGATGACGGGCAGCGATTAATGATAGTTGAAGGTGGTGGCGTGATGATGGTGGCTTAACGACCCTAGCCAACGGTTCTTCTTTAGAAGACCCTCCTCGTTATAGTACTCACAGATGGTGCTGAAATCAATCGAAGATCGAGGATATGAGAAGTAGGTGGCGGTGACGTTTGGTCGAAGAAGAAAATAGAGATGGTTGCTAGTATGTCAAGAAGAACTCCCAATTTATGTATTAGTAAGTTGCTTTAGAATGAGTACTACATTGCTTCAAAATAAGCGCTATGTTATTTGAGATTAAACACTACGTTATCTGTAAACGAGTATTATAATTGTAATGAACAAATGTGCGAAAATGAACATAATGTTATTTCAGAATGTGTATTACGTTGATTCAAAATAAACACCACTTTATCGCCAAATGAATACTCTTTTACTCCAAAATGAATACTTGTGCTTTGTGCATAAATTAACACTCCTTTACTCCAAAATGAGTATTACCTAGTTGTACCATAGTTCGTGTGCAGCCGGCTGTACAAGTCACTCAGCAATCGAGGTCTAAATTCTTTCTACATGCAAAATCATATTGATTTAATCTTAATACTCCCTCACTCCCTGAGTGTTTGTCCACTTTCATTTTTGCACACCATCCTATGCACTTCTTTAATCCATTTTATCTTCTAATTTGTATATTAAAAATTTATAAAATTATATACGGAGTATTAATAATCTATATGTTAAGACGAATCAAACAAGATCACACATGACTATTTTTAGGCTTACACATTGAGAGAATTTGATGAGTCAAAGTGCTTAGATGAACAGTTCCAAAAGTCAAAAGTGGACAAACACTCATGGACGGACCAAGTAATATTTATTGGAGTAAAATTCTATTAATAATCCGTTATAATACTTCCTCTGTCCGAAAATGAGCTTTTCAAGTTGACTTTTCCCAATTTTAAGATGGGAAAGTTCTTGTGAGCCTTGTAAAAAGAAACATATCCAATTATGAACCAATGAAAAATTTGTGGGAATGTCTACATTTTACATGTGAATCTTAGGATCACAATAGAACAACTCTTTAAGAAAAGTTCAAATAAGGTGAAAATTTACAAAATTATTCTTGTGAAAGTGGGTGGAATATTGGTTAAGATATAATAAATAAAGAAAGTAAGAAGAGTTCTGGTATTTCTGTAATGCCCCGAAACTTGGGTTAGAATTTTTAATTAATTTATATAAATAAATTAATTAATTACTAAGTCGGTCGATATGAAGACTATTTTCTAATTTGCATATTTAATGTGAGAGTTTGACCTATGTTGTAGAGTCCGCTGTTCTAAATCTGACTGCGCAAACAGATTGAGAATCAGACTTAGTAGGCCCAAAAAGAGAAAAGAAAGTAGACATGGAATTCAAAAGAGGGAACTAAATTCTAGGGTAACAACTCATTTCCTAGGAATCCACCAAACAGTCTTTCTTCTTGTGAGAGAGGGAGGGAGAGAGAGCGATGTTGTTGTGTTGGGTGAGGTGGGGTCAAAATCACAGTCTCCCATTTGCTGAAAGGAGGAGATGGCAAAGACCAAAAAGGAGAGGCCAATATTTGTTGTGACTCAATAATAAAAACGGACGATGAGAGAGAGAGAGAGAGGTATAGTGTGTGAGTGTGTGTGAAACACCAAAAGCCTAATCCCCTCTCGATCTCCCAATGCAATCCCCAAACTTTGTCCCTTCCTTATCCTATCTTTTTCTTCTCCTTCT